ATTGAACAGCAAGTCAATGCTTAGAAAGATAAACCTGATGGTCCCTCCACTTCCTCGGAAGTAGCGATGAGGATCTGGTCTACAGAAGAGCAGACGAACACCAAACTCGCAAAAAAGAAAAATATCTTATCTTCGACTGATAGAAAGAGAACACATAGAATGCAGAAAAAACAGAAGCTGGTAAGATAGTTAATGAAGTGAGCAAGAAAATCGCCAAGCTCACTTCAAGAAAAAAAGCGTTTATCCAGGCACAAAAACGAAAAATAGGCAGAATTAACCGAAAAAAAAAACAAAATTGTACAGCAAGTCAATGCTCAGAAAGATAAACCTGGTGGTCCCTCCACTTCCTCGGAAGTAGCGATGAGGATCTGGTCTACAGAAGAGCAGACGAACACCAAGCTCGCAAAAAAGAAAAATATCTTCTATTCGACTGATAGAAAGAGAACACATAGCCTACCCGTAGTCAGAGGAGATTGGTACGAAAATCCATCGACCACCGATCCACCGACATCGCCACCTTCGGCTCTAATATCATATAATAAACTCAAAAAATAAATAACCGGAATTAACGGAAGAGGTAGACAGCGACAACAGATGGTAAGTAGCCTCCATCTTATGCAAAGCTCGCCAGGTGGTGCAGAAAAGACGAGCTCTGCTATGCAGTGATAGACGAAAACAGCGCGTCTGGAAAACTAAAAAAGAAGACCCAACAAGAGGTGAAGGATGCGGTTAACAATAAGATCATGGAGAACCCGCTGCAAGGTGTGTAGGTACCCTATTGATCTGGATAGCTGCAGTTTCAAGAGAGACATCTACTGCTAGAGTTTGAGTAATCAATGAGCATAGAAGCCCTGAGAAAACTAGTGGCAGATATTGTCCCGACAATCAAACTTAAGCTGGCGAGGAAACAGGACCTTCCTCAACTACAAAAGGCAAATGGTTTCGTCAGAGGATGGGGCAGCAAGTTCGCGACAGAACACATGCTCAAAGTATTGGGTCTACAAAATAGGACACTGCTGATGAAGAAATTGAAAGTATTTCACAGGGAGGGAAAATAAGATGGAACTCTATGGGTTTTGGGTCTAGACAGTTCTTCAATTTCAAGTCTGGCGCACTAGATGGCGTGTCTAACGCAGTCTTCTTAAATATTTGGAAGGCAATGATTGGAGACGAAGATGTCAAGAAAAGTAGCGAGAAAGAAACACCTAGAAACAAAAGGAGGGAGCCAAGGAAAAGATAACCGACACCCAAGAGGACCGTTTATTGAAGGACAATTGACAGAATTCATACACGGACCTTAGACAATAAAAAACAAGGGCTCTGGATTCAAAACATGTTTGCAGAATATTATCGATATAGATCCTGTAACAACATATCTTAAGAAAATTTTTCGATATTGTTCGTTTTTTTTTTTTTTTTTTTTGTTTCATCCAGATTGTAATTTTATGTTTTAGATTCTCAATAAGATTCTCTATGTTTATGGGTAGCCCCTATTATACGGTATTTTAGGGGCATTAAGCACGTTTTTCAACTAATTCGATTTTTTAGGTTTTATGCGGTGTCAAATTTTCCAACCAAAACATTATCAATATCGGTTTATGTTGTGATATAGCTCCAGTTTTGACAGATTTCGATTAGCAAAAACCTGGGCAAAAACCTGGGCAAAAAAGTGCAAAAACGTTTTCCCCTATAAGTTGAGCATTTAATATACCAAAAATCGATCGGAATTTTTATATACTGATTATTCTAAAGTAAATTTCTCTTATGAAGATTTGAAACCCTATGAAACTCCAAAATATAAAAGTTTACCTAATTTGGTCGAAAAACAATCCCAAAAATACTAAAATTGGGAGGTTAAGACCCCCAACCCAAAATACCGAATATCGAAACTCTGATTGATATATCCCCTTTTCATTGACATCAAATTTTCAAAACTCTATCTTAAATATTGCGATCCTTATCACAATTGCTCCTTATTCGAAATCCCGGTCTTACCTCTTGGTGAACAATGTCATAATTTCGCCTTTAATATATCTTTGTTTTATAAAAAACAACAACAAATTCTTATATGAGATTAAGGGAGAATAATATTTTCCCCACCAAAAAAAGTAGTTAGTTTTTTATTCTAAAACACCTCAATAATGTGCATTTATTGAACATCTACTAATTTCCCCCCATCAGATGTTATGACCTCAGTAACCATCACAAATTCTTCAAATGTCTCCACTATCTCTTAAAAACCCATAGACAGACATGATTATGATTATCGCGATAAAGAAAAAATAAACTCGTATCACTCAACATACAATGTTGTTGGTGGTGGTCCACTGAGCGTCCTTTTGTCGATAAATCGATTAGTGTCAATTTCTTGGTGCTTCGATTCCATATTTTTTTCGCAACATTCAAACATTCCTGGATGTAATGTCGTTTCTTTTTTCCAACTATGCTCCTTTGTCGTTTATGTTTCATCCAATTGACCTAGATCTTCCTGATTCTATTGTTGTTGCTACTATTGCTTCAAATACTACGGGGTTTCTTGCCATACACACACACTCGCTTAGTAGTGGAACGACAGCATAAAATAGAGGTCTATTGTTACTCCTCTTACAGGATTGGCATACAACATGTACAACTTATGTGGGTGACAGTGTGCGTGTGTGTGTAATTGCGATAAACATACATATGTATATGTATTTAAGATTGTCCTAAAGGCATTTTATATACATATATCACCCGCTCGCCACCAGCCAATGTTAATATATTTCAACTTAATGCCTTCACAGCACTGTACCAAATAAATGTGTTGTGCCCTGTCGTTACATACGACCTAGTACCAAAACAACTGCGTCTTAACCGGGAATAACGACAATCTTACACAACAGCCAATACTATGTTTTTACATATTCCCTTTTATCATGATGTTTTTTAGGCCGCGAAGAAGTTTGAATGTTAACAGAAAGCTTTTAACAGGATGTGAAAAAATTATGTTATTAAGATTTGCCTAGTTGAGCTTTTTAAAAAGTTTACGAACCTTTCTTCAATTTATTTAGTATGAGAAAAAATTGGCACGCAATTAAAAATAAAACAAGTAAAAAAGTTCGGTCTGGCCGGGCCGAACAGTTTGTAGCCCCCGCCTTAAGACTATCGGGACATTTATATGGCGACTATGTTATGGTGTTATGTGATAGTAGGTTGTTCATGTTCCAGAAAGGGGACTTTTTAAATTTATTTTTTATTCACCAGGAGTCCGATATGTGCAATTATAGACACTCCTATGATCCGGAGAAATTTGTATACCGGTAGCCTTCCAGAACCCTTTATACCAAATTACAGCCCCATCGGTTGGAAAATTCAGTTAAAGTCTTCAAAATACCGAAAATGGGATGGTACCGTTCTATGGGAGGTATGTCAAACCGTATCCTGATTTTGATATATTTTTTTTTTTTGTAGAAAGGTTTGACACCCCACAAGAATTTTATAAATCAAATTAGAGAGAATTTGTTTAAAAAACATGTCCAAACCCCCAAAAAACCGAACAATGGGTGTACCATTATATGGGATCTCCCCGGAAAATTCGGCAGATATTGATAATTTTTGGTAGGGGGATTTTTTACGCAATGAGAATACTAAATATAAAATTACGCCTAATTTAGTTGAAGGACATGTCCAAGCTCCTCAAAATACCGAAATTTGGTATGTAGCGTTATATGGGGAATTCCCAAAAAGTGATCCAATTTTGATCATGCCTAGTAGGAAAATCCCACGAGAAACTGAAAAATCAAATTAAAGCCAATTCGGTTAAAAAACGTGCTCAAAACCCCCCAAAAACCCGAATCGTGGGGGAACATTTGGTAGGAACACTTTCTATACAATGAGAATCTAAAATAATTCCCAAAAGTGAACCAATATTGGTCATGCTGAAAACCCCCCATAATACCCGGAAACATGGGTTAAGTTGACAAGTTTTGGTAGGGACATTTCCTACCCAATAAGAATCCAAAATATTAAATTGGTTGAAACGAGTTCGCAAGCTCCCCAAAATATCCATATTTGGAGTGTAGCTTTATATGATGGGCTTCCCTAAAAGGCGGGTCAATATTGAAAATATTTAGTAGGACCATTTTTTACCATACCACGACTCAAAATAACAAATTTCAACCAAAACCATCCAGATACCGAATATTGGGGGTACCCTTATATGGAGGCTACCCTAAAAAGTGGACCAATACTGATCACTTTCAAATTACAGCCATTTTGGTTGAAAACGTAGTTAGGAACTTCAACATTCCGAAAGCCACTTCGATGGGAATATACGCCAACATTAAAAACACAAACGAAAATGTGTCAGGATTTTTATAAGGGGGCTACGTCAAAACATAAACCAATTCTGAAAATTGTTTGCACACTCCAATGATTTTTGCCCTCAAAAAACCCGTAATACCAAATTACAGCCTCTTCGGCGAAATTTTACGGATAAAACGTCGAAAATGTGGAGAAAAGCCTACATGAAGGTTATGTTAAAACATGGGCCATTTAGTCCAATTTCAGAAGAAATATGGAAATATTCCTTGATCCAGAGGTATTTTCGAAATACAAACTTGTTAATCAGATGTGAGGACACCACCAAAATTTTCCTAGTGAGCAAACACCTCTCCTACAGTAGTTTTAATGTGAAGTCTAATAACTTCGTTCCTATAACGATACTATTTAAGCCCAATAATTACCCACTTCTGACTCTATCATACCACCGTGCCCCAATCCCCTCATTTCCATTTATGGCGTTATTTATTCTTAGAACAAATTCGTTATATCCCCTACTATTTAATTTGATATAATCAACAATCAATAAATCCCATGATCTCAATTGACTTAAAAAACAAACGCATGAATTAGTATTTAAAATATATAGAAACATTTAATTTATTTCAATTTATTTTATTTTTTCTCACATCTTAACATAATCAAAATAATAACCTAAAAACTAAAAGAATATCTCTACTTTATGATTCTTCATAATTTTCCGTTTTAATATCATTCAGACCCAATTCTTCATTTTGTTCATATGAACGGACATATTTTGTTACTTTCAGCTTATCATCGGGTTCATCGGTGTCACTCAACGATTGAACATAACTATTACCGGCTGGATCATCCAAAACCAATGTTGCGGGCATTTCCAAAGACAATATTTTTTCGAATTTTTCAATGAAACCTTTGAAACGATTTTTGAAGGCTTCATCGGTTGAATCTTGGAACATGACATCATTACCCTCAATTTGATCTTTCATGGCGGTTAGGATACCTTCAACGGTTGTGAAACGACCACCCAATGCTGAGGGACCAACTTCACAATCCAATTCGGGTATGAGTAAGTTGCATGTTTCTGATTTCAAGACATCACGAGTTAGGTCTTCTTTGCAATCAACACGCACCTCAAAACGGGTACCCTTATCCTCGATGCCACCACCCGATTTAACTTCATTTGTTTTACAACCACAAACATCACATACGGTGGCCATAATAACAACTTCTTTGAAATGGGGGATTTTTGTTAGTTTCATATTTGTTTCGCATGGAGAACGACATTCAGGGCAGAGCGTTTGGAATTGTAAAACTTCGCCATGTAAATCTTCCAAAGTCCATTCGCCCTCTGGAATAGGTTTCAGCAATTGTTTGTCTTCCTTTAAGATCTTCTTTTCGCCCTCTTGTACCTCGTTTGCATCATACAGACCCAATAGTTGATCTTGTTCTTTGGATCGTGTAAAATGTGTGGTCTTACAATTGGGGTCATGTGCCGGTGCCAATGGATTTTCCACAAAACTGTTACCACTTATGTCATCCAATTCCAAGGTGAAGTTTGTTTTCAAAGACTTCAAATCATTCAATCGTTCAATATAGGCATCAATGGCAGCTGCTGCATCTGGATGTTCAATGCGTCGCTTATCCTGATCTTGGCTAAGTCCGCGAATGGTACGATCGATTATACCTTCCACGGTGGTAATTTCACCCTTTTGCGATTGTGAAGGAATTTCCAGCTCAACTTCAGGAATTTTCACCGACGTATAATCGGAGCGTACAACGCGACGATTCAAATCACTGCTAGACTTAACCTCCAATTTGATGTGTACACCCTTCTTTTGGATTTCCGATGCCGATTGAATTTCATTGTTTTCGAAGCCACAGAACTCACATTTGAATGACATCAGCACAACCTCTTTGAAAAATGGAATTTTGGTCAAGAGGAGGCGCGTAACACCCGTTTTGAAACAATTCATACATGCCGATTCAATTTCAGTTGCCTCATTAACCGCTTCGTCAGCATCGATTTCTTTGAATAATGGTCCCTTCTTCTCATCCTGAACGGAGTCACTGTTTGTTGTTATATTTTCCGTAGCTTGCGTTGCCATTGTTGACTTGTTGTTACTTTGTTCTGTTGAATGCAATTGAATTTTCTCGTTTATCTTTAATAATTTTCCAGAATTTTCGCACTTGTTTGCTTTTATATCGTCGGTCGGCGTATATGATGTTGGCTATATGATGTATCAAGAGATGAATGAACAGACCGAAAACATGAGTTGAGTTGTGTTGATTTTGCAAACAGCTGGTGAGAGAACGTGTCGTTCAGTGTTGTATATTCCCGTAGGAGATTTTGGTAGTTCATTACATTAGGTCTGTTCTATGTTTCAACTGTTTGTAATGATGAATAAATAGTATATTCCAGAATTTGCAAGAATCTTATACGACTCGGAATTGTTTTCTTTATAAATTCGACACATTTCGAGGTTATCTGACACATATCCAGGAAAATCTAACCAGTAAGAATTGTAAGATGACTGCCAAACCAAGTCGAAATATTGGAATATAAAAATAAACAAAATTTCTGATATTTCATTTGTCCCTTACTGCAATAAACTACTAATTTAAACTATTTTTTCATAATAAAAAGTTGTAAATTCTGGCAGTACGGTAAACATTTACTCTAAAATGTATATACTTTTTTAGGTCGTACCTCAATTATGTCTGGAATTTTTACCCATTTCATTAGGGTGAGTAAGAACCACATTTTTTCTTGGAAGAAAATAAGGAGATTATTGATTGACGCCAAGCTAAACATAAACATATCTGTCGAGCAAAAGGAGAGGAATAATGAAGAGTTAAAAAACTAACGCAATATGGAGGAGGACGTAGTCCTAGCCTCTCAACACCCTTGTCACCGAGTAAAAGGGGACGAGCAAGTATAACAGGAGCAGAAGTGGTACGAGGAGTACAAATAGCGGCAGCATAAAAAAACGATATGAAGAAGGCGGACTTCAGGAAAAAAATGACCACAAGGGACCTCATGTGAGTAAGATTGGGTTCGGCGGGGTAAAGTTACTTTGAGAAATGCAACAACGGCAAATTTAATAGCAGATAATGAACAGCTGGTGAAAATAGGTTATCAACCAAAAATATTTGCTCACTTTGTATCCAAAATTGGTATAATTTTTGGCATTCAAACTGATATTCCTGAGGAAGAGCTGAAGGGTGCAATTCAGTAGTAGGCACACGTGTGCCTACTTAAAGTGTAAAAATATGGTTTAAAAGCTTGGAGTTGGCGCACGCGGTCAAAGTTTATGAATACTATAAAAAGGAAAAAAACCGTCCGGCCAGACAACGAACCTATGAAACAGGAGGCGAAAGATAGATACTCAGGTCATTTCAACAGTTTTGACATCCTAGCAGACAATATTGATAAACCCTTAACAACTCTGTAAGTGACCAACAAGAAAGCAAGTCCGACCAGGAATAAAACCATTGATAACAATATATTCTCAGCAAGTTTTTTACATGCTAGGAGCTCATTTGCGAACGTTGTCAAAAACAATAGAAGTCAGTTGAGAGAGAACGAAAATCCAAAAAAGAACATGCAGGAGTACAAGGAATCCTTGGAAGAAGAAACACTTTATCAGTCACTTAATGGATCAGTAATTCGTAAAACGCAGGAAGTCTTAGATTCGCTGTTGAATAATGTGAATGTGTTGGCCTCCCTACGGATAGGTAAGTTGAGCAATCAACAGATATTCACTCTAAATAATATAAAATACAAACTATGCAATGAAATCTTGAATATTGATGTCATCATGGTAAATACAGGCAAATGCCTCTGATACATAATCCCCTTTTTTCGCCATGGCATAAAGATCCTTCAATATAACATACAAAGTATAAACAAGAAGGAAAATAAGAATCTCCTTGAGCTCTTCTTGGAGAATGAAAAAATAGATACCGCATTATTGACGAAAACATGGGTTTAAAATCGAATAAAATATGGATTGGCGTTCTTTTCTTTTAAGGAATTGCTAGTAAAAAGCAGAAGGTAATCAAGAAATGATAGCGCAGCTGGCTGTTGAAAAAATAAATCATCTTCAATATACAGGATATGGCCGGAGACATCACCGGCGCTGCTTTCTACCATCCCCATTTACAAACAACAAAATTCTTCTATGTCAGGAAAAAATTATTTTCTATGTCCTCTGAATTGCTTGCTTTTCTCAAGGAATACGATGAAAACAATGGTATCAAGACTTTGCAATACTTTCTGATAGATTGAATCTGTAGCTTAGCTGCGCATGGAGACATGCTTCTGAACGTTCTTACTATAAGCAGGTCGTGAGCCAGGAAAAAAAGTTGTGACCCATTATTTAGGAGATCCTTTTAAATTCTCATAAATATGTTTCTATCGAATGTCTATAATTCTAAATAGATTGAGTATTTTGATAGCGGCTACTTACGATACGTAATGCACTAACTAAACCCCAGCAGTACTAAAAAATACACCACTTCCTTGTCATACCGGCATTTGACAAGAGAAGGGCGCAAAAAGTTGTTTATGTCTATTATCTCTTTGGTTTTGTTTGGCCAATTTCTGTTTTTCGCGATATCTTTGCAAATTAATTAATAAAAAAATGACCGAAGAAGCTCCAGCTAAAACCAGTCGGATGCCATGGTGAGATTTTGAATAAAAATGGTTTATATAGGATAAATAATTCCATATTTTTAATTTTAGGGTTGAGAAATATCGGCCATCGAAATTAGATGATTTGATATCACATGAAGAAATTATATCGACAAGTAAGTTTTAAATTCTAGCATTTCCCTACATACTTTTAATACAAATATTGCCTTGCAGTTAATCGATTCATAAACCAAAAACAATTACCCCATCTACTGTTCTATGGACCTCCGGGTACGGGTAAGACCAGTACGATTTTGGCATGTGCCAAACAATTGTATACTCCGGCACAATTTAAATCAATGGTCTTGGAATTGAACGCCTCCGATGATCGTGGTATTGGTATTGTTCGTGGACAAATATTAAATTTTGCCTCAACACGTACCATCTTTAGTGGAACCTTCAAATTGATTATATTGGATGAGGCAGATGCTATGACAAATGATGCCCAGAATGCTCTACGTCGTATCATTGAAAAATATACAGAAAATGTACGATTTTGTGTTATCTGTAATTATTTGAGCAAAATTATACCGGCTGTACAATCAAGATGTACACGTTTTCGGTTCGCCCCATTGACACCGGAACAAATTTTGCCACGTTTGGACAAAATTATTGAAATGGAAAAGTGAGTAGAATTTATAATAATACACCTTAATATGGGGTAATTTTGCTACTTTTATATCAGATTAAATGTCACCGAAGATGGTAAGAAGGCCTTGATGGTTTTGTCCAAGGGTGACATGCGTAAAGTACTGAATGTCTTACAAAGCACCAGTATGGCCTTCGATGAGGTCAACGAAGATAATGTCTATACATGTGTGGGTCATCCATTGCGTCGAGATATTGAAAGAATCCTTGAGACGTTGTTGTCATGCAAAAGCTTTGAGGGTGCTTATGATGGTGAGTTTAATTGATTATTGAATTGAATGGAATTTTATAATATAATATTTATTATTCTTTTAGAAATCCAAAGTATCAAATCTGTCAAAGGTCTGGCCCTAGATGACATTCTAACGGAATTACATTTGTTTATTATGCGACGTATGTTCAGAACAAATTAGTTTTTAAATTTATTTTAATTTTGTATCTCTACATCTCTTTTTTTATTTTTCTACAGTGGAACTTCCCATGAGCGTCATGAATAAAATTATCATAAAAATGGCTTCTATAGAAGAACGCTTGGCCAAGGGCTGTACAGAAGGACCCCAAATTACTGCATTGATTGCAGCATTTTTCATAAATCGAGATCATGTTACATTAGAAAGTTAAATATCGCAAAAAACATTATTTTGTTTCTATGTGTAAGTTATGTTTAATAAATATTAATTTTTAAAATCTCATAAAATATATTATTTGAATGCAATTAAATGGAAACATCAAGCAACAAGTCCGTACCTATCTTCCTGAAAATTTCTCCCGAAATTTTATTGGATTACGGACACATAGATAAATTGCTGTTCATGATACGTACACGAATTTCAACATCCATTTTGGTCCACACAATAAACCAACATATTTTCATATCTATAATTTTAATTTCTTCTTTAATAAGTTCAGAAAAATGATTCAAACCAGAACTGAATTCCTACAACAAATTTCATTTACAATTTCGATTTAGTTTCCTTTTCATACATGTAGACCATTCGATGAGCTTCGTTGAAAAACGGATGCAGCTCATGGCGTACCCTTTCGATCCACGAGTATATTTTGGGATATTTGTTTTTAATTTCATAACCGCAACATCCTAGAAATTACACCAAAAAATAATTATTTTCAAAATATTATTTTTAAATAATTATCTACTCACTTATTTGTTCAATTTCGCATGCACCAAAAACATCTGCTGCAGTCAATTTATTACCAGCTAAATATTCCGTATCTTTTAACCATAGATTTTCCATCAGTTCTAAATCCTTTTCCATTAATTTGCGATATTTTGCCACTTTAGCTTCTGAGGCAGGCGAACCAAATGCCTTCTCCTGGACCCATTGAAAACGAAAATAGAGGGAACATGAAGTACGAATACCCGTATGTTGCCATGATAAAAATTCATCTACTCGTGCCCTTTCATGTAAATCAATGGGATAAAAAGCAATGGAAATTTGATCTTTAGCCGCTAAGTAACGTAGAATGGCAATACTTTCGGATAATTGAAATACTTGGTCGTCTTCTTTGTCGATTATGGCTGGTACTTTTTTGAAACGATTGATTTTTTTGTAATCGTCTTGTAGGTTTTCAGCTGGATAGGGAAAAAGAAATATTTTTTTATTAACATATAAAATGGTCTTCAAATAGTTAAGAAACAATTTAGATTAAAACAGTGGAATAAATCCAAAAAGTAGTTTGAACTCTTGTCTAAAAGTATATATTCCACAACATTGTGGTATTTCTTATACCCAACATTAATAGATCTTACCTTCCAGCAAGTTGATGGGTTTCGCCTCAAACTTCGTACCACTTGCTTTTAGTAAAATATACAAAGCCCTGGAGGGCTGTGACAGAAAATCAAAATAATATTCCAAAGTTGAGTCCATTGTTTTCATAGAGTGCTATAATCTATATGCTTGAACAGTTAACAATGTTTTAAAATAAATATTTGTTTATCTATGCATTTATTCTGATATTGTTTGGGAGTATAAATATGAAGAGAGTATATAATCTTAATTTGTCTCAGTATGCTTCTCTTGATTTTATTTGTTTCTCTTTACTAGTTTACAGTAGGTTCCGTATTATTGTAAAGAATCTTTTAAATACAGAATATTTTCCAATAGGTGGCTCGTTTATGCTCAGAAATAAGCCTTTTTGAATATATATATATATATATATATTTTTTTTTTTCTCCAGATGAAGGACATACATCTGGTCTTCTATAAATATTATAAAGGGTTCATATCAGGTAGGACGCTTAAGGATGGAAATTCATTATACTATTCACCACACTGTGGTACAGGGTATTTGTGCATATTTTTGTAACAGGCAAAAGGAAACGGAATAGACATATTGTTCCTTTTGAGAACATGCATAGAATCACTATCTGAGTCGATTTATGCATGTCAGACCGTCTGTCCATGTTAAATTGTAAACAAAGTACAGGTCGCATTTATGATCCGAATTGGATGAAACTTGGCACAGCTCATTTTTTCTGGCCCAATGACGAACCCTATTGAAATTGGGGAAAAGGGTTCAGATTTAGATATAGCTAACATATTTTCGTCCGATTTAAGATGTCATGTCATTTTGAAGTAAGTCTAGAATGATGTGTGTTAAGTTTCGAGAAAATCGATTGATTTCCGTTTCTCTGATCGAGGTAAATTTTGAACAGCACATTGTACTACAGCATACAAAATGGTTGCTCGAATACGTCCAGATTTACACATAGCTCCCATACATCATGCAAATGGGGCACCAAAGAAGGTCCGCCCGAGTGACATGCCATTTTTCATATGTATGTGTATAGTTTGCTTAGTTCAATTATCTATGTAGTCCACACATTTAATTTCGTTAGGTCTACAGGATATTGTACATATGAGCCTCTCTTGTATTTACCACCAGTGGTGAAGGGTATCATGTAGTCGGCTCCGTCCGAATGTTTAACTTTTCTTACTGTAACTACTCACAGTTTTGAATCCCTCAATAACCGAATTTAAGAACTTCTCCACCGATAATCGGAGGGCATATATAATCATAAATATTCGCAAAATACAGACAATTAGGGGAAATTTTCTATCCAATTTGAGCCCAAAATATAAAAAATTCCATATTTTCGAAAAATTCATAAAATTTTAGATACTATACCAGTAATGATAATTTTTGTAATAGGATATTCTAACCAAAGAGAGAGAACATTCTAAAAATATCAACATTAATTACAACGGACAAGTCTCTATTATATTTGATTCGAAATTATAAACAGAAAGTTTGTAACGCATCGAAGTAATAATTTCGGGTAATAAACTTAATACACCCTCTACTATGACGGAGAATACAAAAATGCACTTTATGTTACCCTACCGTTTCTTTTATTATGTTTTCCTTTGTTAAGAAATTAACTTTATATCTGTTTTTATTATTTTGTTTTTGTATCTTTAATTTACATAGACATTATTAATATAAAATCCCAAATTATTTGTAAATATGTTGTAAAGTTGATTTATTTTCTTTTTTAGAATCCCAATACACACTTTTTTTAACAACAAATTGACCTTTGATTTAAAAAACAAGTGAATACCACTTAAAGAGGGTAAGATTTGTATGGGAGAGCGTTGTCCCCACCTCTCTTTGTGGTTACAATGCTCCACTGAGCTGTTATCAATAAGATTTAAATGGGGGGAGACAATAACAACAAATACATGACAATGCCATTTGCCACTCTCTTTGAAGAAACAACCCAAATGGAGAGTGCAAAACGTTGACAAAATCAAAACAAATAAATAAATTAATGAAATGTTTTGTCAGACCATATCCAAATACATGCCGTGAACTTAGTTGGGCTATACTCTTAGAGAAGGTAAGATCGGTGTTGATAGAAAAAATATAAATTAAAAAGAAAGTTTTGTATTGTGGAATCTCAATATAAACAAATGGAAAATATAATTGCATATAATTATTGATTTATTATTGTTTTTTTAGTAAATTCCACTGGACCAAGAAACTCAACGCAATGTCATTAAAATATTTCTACGATTTAATGTCACAGCCCTCGAGGGCTTTGTATATTATTCTAAAAATGAGTGGTGTACAATTTGAAGATTGTCCGGTAGCTTTAAGGAATGGTAAGTCCAATGTGATAAGTAAATATAAGCAATTCATAGGTAGGTAATCTTATCGTCTAACCTATCAATAGCAAACTATTTTATGAATTGTTTTTTTATAAATTTTCTGCACAAAGTGCATCGTTAAATGTCCGAACAATACTTATAAATTCCTTTTATTCTAGGTGAACACTTGACGGAGGATTTCAAAATAAACATTAATCGTTTCCAGAAAGTGCCATGCATAATTGATGATGGTTTTAAATTGGCCGAGAGTATTGCTGTATTAAGGTAAATGCATACATTTTGAATATATGAACTCAATTACGCCTATCTGCTCAATGTTAGACTACGAATAATTTAGGGTCCCACATATTAAGTGCATGTGTTGCTTAGTCAAAGTCCAAAAGACCCCCATGTTTTTATAGATATGTATAAATACATTTCGGGAATGAGTAAGGAATATTGAAGTACTTGAAAATATAGAGATCTCACTTCAAGATAACATATTTTATTTAACTCAAATACCACCATAAAGCTAAGGATATCCACTATACAACAACAAAAACCTTTGTCAATGATTAGGATGGAGTCAATAGAAGAATATCATTTTCTGTAAAGAATTCAAGGTTGATGAAGACCGGTCGCAGCAACGAGAAACAAACCACATCTGAAATGACCCTCCCTTACAGACTTTGCCCATAAGGGCGTTGAGGTCAACAAAGAAACAACATCTTGTTGCAAAGGAGGAGTATCGAAAATTGAAGAACTGATCCGATCTGAAATGACCCTCCGTTGGTAGTGGAGAGGATAAACTCAAGAGAGGAACGAAATCTTGATTCTTCTTCTTTCTAATGGACATATTTTGGATCCTTGGCTCCTATATAAAATCAGACGAAACTATATGAGAGCTATATTTAAATCTGGACTGATTCTAAAAAAAACTTAACACACATCATTCTAGACTCAATTCAGTACGCTATGCCAAATTTTGGGCAAATCGAAAGATATATAGGACTTTGGTACACCATTTACATTAAATCGGTCAAACATATATATGGGAACCGATTTTCGAGAAAATTTACACACGTCATTCTAGTCCCAATTCAGTACGCACTGCCAAATTTCGTGGAAATCGAAAAATATATAGGGATTTGGTGAACCATATACATTAAAATGGTGAAACATATATATGGAAGCTATATCTAAATCTGAACCGACTTTCCCGAAACTCACCACTCATCATTCTATATGCAATCGAATTATATAGGGACATTAGTACACCATTTACTTTAAATCGGACGAAAATATATATGGGAGCTATATCTAAATCGCTCTAGACTTAAGCCAGTACACTATACCATCGAGGGATATATGGGGACTATGGTGCACTATTTACCATAAATCGGACGAAATATATATGTGAGCTATATCTAAATCTGAACTGTTTTTCCCAATTTCAATATGGTTCGTCCTTGGGCCAAATTAATGAGCTGTGCTAAATTTCATCCAATTCGAATCAAAAATGCGACCTGTACTTTGTTTACAATTTAACATGGACAGACGGACGGACATGCATAAATCGACTTAAGAAGTGATTCTATGCATATTCTCAAATGGAACCATGTGTCTATCTCGTTTCCTTTTGCCTGTTACAAGCATATGCACAAAGACATAATACCCTGTACCACAGTGTGGTGAAGATGAAAGTTGGACCAAGACTTACCACTTTTCCATGATTCTTCAAAGTCAACATTGAAACGTTTTGAAGCGACAATTCGACGGAGCTCCCAATGAGTTGTCATCATTGACGGGGCTGATTCGAAGGGCTCTACTTTATTAAGGCAGTTAATATCCTTGAACTCCTCTGAATGAATAGTAGTCTTGCAGGTTATCTGTTGATGTTGTACCGTTCAGGATAGTTCACTTTGAATGTTTTCCACAACCTCTTTAAACTCCAAAAATGCATATGTGGATCAAGATAGATAGAAGATGTTTTCCATTTTTCAAAAATCCGAAATGCATAATTTCAGCTAATTCGTGCTGTAATATTTATATATGATCTCATTTTTCTAGTGTCTTTCAATTTTTTATGTATACTATTTTCTTCTGCTTGCAGATACCTCAGTGCCAAGGGGAAAATTCCCGAATATTTATATCCGAAATATTTTGTAGAACAGGCACGCGTTGATGAATTCTTGGAATGGCAACATATAACATTACGTATTACATGTGCACTATATTTCCGTACCGTTTGGTTGGATCCCTTGTTGACCGGTGAAAAGCCATCAGCTAAAAAAGTGGAAAATTTAAAATCCCATATGGAAATGAATTTGGCGATTATTGAAAATGTGTGGCTGGAATCGACCGATTTTTTGTGTGGTAATCAAATGACGGTGGCTGATATTTTTGCAGCCTGTGAAATTGAACAGACACGTAAGTTATATATTTGAAATTTGATTGCGTCCAGAATTATTAAATAATGTTTTCCTTGTTATTTTAGGTATGGCTGATTATGATGTACGCATTAAACATCCCAAAATTAGAGCTTGGTTGAAGCGTGTTCGTGCCGCCTGCAATCCTCATTATGATCATGCCCATCAATATGTTTACAAGATTTCGGGTACAGCACCAAATTCGAAATTATAAAAAAGAGGAGGTGTATCGCTTTTTTTAGTTTAAATTTGGACATTTTTGTTGAGAATGTTATGTGAATAGTTTTATTGGTGATATATGTTAAATGTATGTGTTCCATATTTTGAATGATTAAAGACGATATATTTTCCAAAAGATAAATTACCGAAGTTATAAACAAATTACTGACTCAATTTTACATGTATGGACTAAAGAGAAACTGCAGCAAACATTTTTAGGAAACAAACAATAATAAATAATAATTTAAATTTTGGTGACTCGTTTTCTTAAAAGCGAGACATTCGAACAGTATATAGTCATTAATATAACACATTGCTATTGTGAATGATTTTGAAGCACAGACATATAAGATGGTTCATGTAATTGCTAACAGTATTTTTTATTAAATATATGAACCATATAATTACAAATTTTTGTTTGGCCTAAAAGTATGCTATACTTTTCTTTACAAAGCAGCAACTGCCACTATGACAGAAAAATTGCCGTTTTAAAAAAATGCATTTTTGTGTGGTTTTTCATTTTCAGGTAATAGGTGCCCAGCACCGAGCAGTAAGTATATTTCGCATGATGGTTGACTTCAAATGCTACTAACTCAGCAACTACTTAACCGATTTTCATAAATTTTGCACCAATGGTTAGAGGAAATTCCAAAGTTTTATTTTATATTATTATACATATATAAACTAATGTTATATAAGAGAAAATTAGCATTATGCGAAAGTTCAAGGTTTTTTAAAATATCGACTATTTTTTGGTTAAATTTAAACACTATCATTGAGTATAGAGTGACGTATCATGTTTACTCCCTCATCCTTATGGCTAATGAGGGTATATACACTTTGCTATGGCAAAAATGTGTTTCATCGAAATATTAACATAACTATCGAAGGGAGTAACCGATTTCATCCAAACTTTGCACATCATAATATTTCTTTCAAACTTAAATCAAGTTTTAAGATCGGGGATGTCGGCCCACTCCTTCTGGTACCTCCCACACAAAGTTGTCAAAATTTTACTGGAATTTAATTTCATAATATTATGCGTACGGAATGCACGATTTATACCAAACTTTGCACAACATATTATTTTAATCATGGTTGTATTATTTTGTAAGTTGGGACTTACCGGTCCACTGCTTTTAGTACCAACCCCACAAAGGGTCAACAATCGGACAAACATTAGGAGATAAAATCCAAAGGAAATCAGAGCGATATCTAAGTCTGAACAGATATTCACGAAACTTTACACCTTCTAAACTCAATTCACTACGCTATGCCAAATTTCGTGCAAATCGAAAAATATATAGGGTCTTTGGTGCACAAAATCGGACGAAAATATATATGGGAGCTATATCTAAATCTGAACCGATTTTCACGAAACTTAATACACATCATTCTATTCTTAATTCAGTACGCTATGCAAAATTTCGTGCAAATCGAAAAATACATAGGGACTTTGGTGCACGATTTATCTTAAATCGGACGAAAATATATATGGGATCTAAATCTGAACCGATATTCACGAAACTTAGCACACATCATTCTAGGCTTAATTCAGTACGCTGTGCCAAAATTTTCAAATCGAAAGAATTGCAGAGTCTTTTGTGCACCATTTACCTTAAATCGGACGAAAATATATATGGAAGCTATATCTAAATCTGAACCGATTTTCACGAAACTTAGCATACATCATTCTAGGCTTAATTCAATACGCTGTGCCAAATTTCGTGCAATTCGAAGGATATATAGGGTCTTTGGTGCACTATTTACCTTAAATCGGACGAAAATATATATGGGAGCTGTATCAAAATATGAACTGATTTTCACGAAACTTAGCACACATCATTCTAGACATTATTCAGTACGCTGTATCAAATTTCGTAGAAATCGGAAGATTTCATTTTTACAAAATGAAAAAATTCGCTGTTGCAAACATAAATTTACTGTGAATTTACTGCGTACGTCCCTGATGGGATCTATACCTAAATCTGAACCGATTTTCACGAAACTTAGCATATATCATTCTAGACATTATTCAGTACGCTGAGCCAAATTTCGTGCAAATCGAAAGATATATAGGACCTTTGGTGCACCATTTACCTTGAATCGGACGAAAATGTATATGGGAGCTATATCTAAATCTGAACGGATTTTTCCCAATTTCAATAGGGTTCGTCCTTGGGCCAAATAACTAAGCTGTGCTAAATTTCATACAATGGAAATCATAAATGCGACCTGTGCTTTGTTTACAATTTAACATGGACAGATAGACAGACAGACGGACGGACATGCATAGATCGACTTAGACTCTTAGACTCTTAAATAACGTCGATATTTTTATATCGGACCTTTCTGTTGTATTCTGAAATATCTTATAATAAAAAATAAACAAACTGCGTTTTTTGTTTGTACATAATGTTTTTGTTTCTTTTTATTCTAAATATTTCGGTGTAATATTTTTTACAATAATATTGAATTTCTTTTTTTTTGTATTTGCTGTTGTGTTTTTTTTCATATTATGGTTTCACACAATTCTTGCTTGATTTTTTCATCTATTTTTAAATAAAGATAATAATTACAATTTCATTTTATTATTATTAATTGTAATATATGTATAGAGAGGTTGAGGGGGCGGGGGCACAGAATGATTATGATGATTGTATGTTTGTTTGTTTTTCTTGTAAATACAGATATTTATGTGGTTTGCTTTGTTTAAATCTAATTGTGGTCCTGCTTATTGTGGAGATGCTAAATGGGGTAGTGGTGTTACGCTCATTTGTAATGAATATTTTTAATATATATTCCGTTTAATAACTTCCACAAAACTAACAATTTTCGGATTTATTAATTGTTTTTTATATTTTATTTAAATATGTATTTTATTTTCATTCAATACATGGTACATTGAGATGTAGTTGTTGGTTCTAATTAGTTTAGCATACAGTAAGGGAGATAGTGGTTTGTTTATTTTGGGTGGGCAGGTTATATGTGTCTTGTTTTGTTGTATTAAATATATGTAGGTAGTTGTTTGTTTATTTTTTCATATACAGATATACGATATATGTATAAATAATATTTTTTTATTTTGTTTATTATTTATGTTTTAATTTTTATTACAGCTGATTGGTGTATTTGTTTACTGTTGTTTTATTTCTTTTTTTATTTTTTGATTTTAAAGTGCCTTTATTTGCACACTTTTGTTTTCTTTTTATTACATAAAAAATAAACTTAAAATAGCAGTGAAAAATAAGATCATAATAAAATTAACATAATACATAGAGTAATAATAATAATCAGAGAATAATCTAAAAATCAACAATTATATTTTTATTTTTCTTTTGTTTGTTTGTTTTTGCTATACAACTAAAACTTTTTTATTTATATAATCAAATCTAACAGAAAAATATTTTCATATAAAATTAAAAACTCATACAAGCAGCACGCATACATATACACACAAATAATACAATTCCTAAGTTGTTTTATTTTTTAATTTTAGCAAATATAACATTTATTTTTTGTTTCCGTTTTCATTTTTTTATTTTATAAAACTTAATTAAAATAGAAAAAAATCTTACAAACAATATATAATAATAATTTATACAAGAAACATTTACATAATTTTTTTTAATGATTCATCATTTTTAAAATAAGACAAAAAATAGCAACACATATTTTTTTAATTTGCCGTTTTTTTGTTGTAAAAAAAATTAAATTATAAATACTTTTAATTGTTTTATGCGTCCATTATATTTTTGTGGGTAATTTCCTATTTTTTTGGAAAATAATTATAAAATATATAAAATTTAACTAAATATAAATCTGTACATAAGACGTTTTTTGTTTGTTTATTTTGAATACATAAAATATTAGGCTTGGCTTGTCGTATAGAAAGAAATATGAAAAATGAACAAAATTTGAGCTTTTGAAATATTTTTTTTTGGATTAGAAGAGGAGGTTTTTAATGACGTTATCGTTTTTCAGTTTTTAAATGTTTTGTTTTTAAATAATATTTGATCGATTTTATTTCTTCGGAAACCTAAAAGAATTGTCTATTAATCGAAAATGTTTTTAATTTTCGTTTTATAAATTTGGAATGGCTTAACAGACAGTTTTTTTGGAGTTACAAAAAAAAAAAATATGTTTTCAAAAAAGGTTTTCTGAGTGAAAATTTGTTAAATATTTTTGATTACCAAATAGATTAGCATATGAATATTAAAATGATCTGTTCGAAAACCTACAAGAATTTTCAGTTTGTCGAAATATTATTACATTTTTTCAATTGTAGATATTTGAAAAGTTTATTATTTTTTTCAAAATGTTTTGTTTATTTTTTTTTTCAATTTTCTGAAGAAGAATGTTTTGAGAAATTAAATTTACACAAAAAAATATATTTTCCAAAAAGGTTTACGGAGGGGAAAATTTTTAAATATTTTTGATTACATGAATATATTATCATATGAATATAAAAATTATATTTTCGCGAAATTACAAGAATTTTCAGCTTATCGAAATGTAAATACCGTTTTTCAATTGTAGATATTTGAAAAGTTTATTTTTTTTTCAAAATGTTTTGTTTATTTTTTTAATTTTATGGTGAAGAGTGTTTTAAGAAATTAATTTTTTGAATTGCTATGTAGTTTAAATGAAATTGATTCCTTTAGGTGTTATAATTTTGTTATATTTAAATTTTTATGATAGATATTTTTTTAAAATTTTTTATTTCTTTATTACTTTAATCGAAGTCATTGTCATATCTTATTATCAACATTTTTAAATTGTGATTATATAAATATATGCCAGAGTCATGAAACTCTGTACCAGATGAACATTCGGCTGAAAATAGAAAAACGCCAGAACAGAAAAAAATAAACCAGGAAAGAAAGTATTAAAGTCGGACTGGGCCTACTATATGATACCCTTCATCACTTTGGATATATTCTACATAGTCTCCTAACAGACGTCGCCTTTTCGAAAGAACATTGACACGAAATT